GAATGGTATAAAAATGGAACAGAATATTGTCTTACTTGCTTCACTTCAAGCAATAAATTCAAATTCGCGATCGTAGCTACGTGATGACATTGTTGCATCAGATATTATTCCGCAGTGTAAACAAAAATATGTATTTTTTTTTATTTACAATCAATAAAGCTAAGGCACATTAAACGCAATATATTTATATGTCAATATCTAGTATGTGTTGAGAAGTATGGGATTGTGTTTGTATGCTAATATTTTTCGATCAGCTGAAAAATTTCAATAAATGCGCAGCATCATTAGAATAGATCACCATGTATTACGGGAAAAAGTCATTGTACCATATAATTTATTCTCGAAGTTTCCCGCATATACTCAAGCTTTGCATGTATTAACAATAAAAAGACCCCTTGTTGATCCAGGGACACGATCCCAAATATCTATTATAATTTGGAGTATCTGTTGATCTGATTTTCGTGATGAATCATAATAACATAATTTTCCCCAAAGATTTATTCCAAAAATTGATCCTTAGACGCACTACAAATCATATAAAAAGGTAAGGTCTTAGTTAGTGAATCCTTTTATCCGCCTTGTGCAAGTAAAACAAAAAGAAATCAAACAAAATACAAGCTTACCATTATATCATTAATCAATTGATTTCCCAAAGAATAAGAGAAAAAAGGTATGTTGGATTTGATTCTATGAAGACGTCATCATGGTGCTAATCGATTTTTCCAACTCTATAGATGTCCATGAAAATTTCGGACATATTGCTCTTCTTGTTATATATCGGCATTTTGATATTTGCCGAGAAAATCTTTGACCATCACAATAGACGCAGTGAAATTACTCACATGAATCTCATCACATGCAACGGCACACATCAAAAAAATTTATCTTATATAAGCATCTTCACGTGCCGAATTCTAAAAACTTTGCGCAGTGTCGTACCGGCGATAACGCAGAAAAAATTGAGCAATAAATTTCTTGTGTATGAGGCGGAATGGAATTATGTGAGAATGAATCGTGATGGTAAGTGAAAATCGGTATAGGTTCGAAATCTCGAGGAATAATGTTTTATATAGTCTGTGTGTTTGGGAGAGATATAGATAGACAATATGGGTGGGATAATTTATTTCGGAAATCTAGTATAGTAAAAGGCTGTGGGGGTAATAATCACGTAATTAGCAATAGAAGTATAAACAAAGCTTCAGATATATTTTTCGAAAATGTGAGAGAGCAAAGAAATAACTTGATGCCGGGACTCGCATTAAATGGCCTAGGATCCGCGTACTCCCTCCCTCTTTGATAGCATCATACATTTCATTCGCCTTTCTATTTTATGTAACTGAAAAAAGTATATTTCAATAAATCATATCTCGGCTGTTAGGGTTGCGCATTTATTATAATCTTAGTTTTTTTTTTAATAATAATATAATTTCAGAAATGGTTTGACTGCTACCAAGAGATAACTTGGATATTCAACTGATTCATAACTTCACCGCCGCTGAGTGGCCGACATAAAGATACGGCTTCTCCTAGGTATCCAAAGATATAAGGGAAGTTATTGCCGCCGCAGATCGGCCGACACAATAGACTTCAGCAAAATCAATGAATCAACTGCCATCGCCACTGAATGGCCGACACGAACAGTTGTTAGCTGTCAAATAACCCATAACTTCACCGCCGCTGAGCGGCCGGCATGAAATTACGGCTCTCATAAAAAGATACAAGGGTAGTTCTCGCCGCCGCAGATCGACCGACACGAGAACCAGTTACTTTAACACATTTCTTGCGAAAATTTCTGGTGGATGTCTATTAAGTAATCGGTATGAAAAATCATATTGTCACGTCGAACACGGCAATAGTGTGACATAATCATATTCAGGCCCCCCCATTTACGGTAGTACGTGCTGCCACGTGACTGAAACGTATATAGATTAAATTACACGCATTATAATAGACGTTATGTATAACATGACTGCTACGTGATGTTTTTGATTATTTTAAGAAAGTTGAAGCAGAGAATTGGAAACTAAAACATTATCTTAACTATCGTTTAGAAAACGAAAATGTAATCCCACCTTGGCTCACTGTTTATAATGATTGGGAAAGTTCTCTCGAAATTATCAAAAAAACAAATAATAAAAAAATTCCGGTCAGTATACGTTCATTTTGCGAAGAATTATCAAACGTTAATACTTTTGAAGGCTCGTCAATCATGAAAAGTTGTATGGAGTGGTACGACGATTTCCATGATCGATACTTTGATCTGCAACTTGCTGAAAGGGCCCAATATATAGAGAGAAATATATATTCATCACAGAAAGTATCAAAGTGGTTACGAGGAAGAACAAGCGAAAAAAGGAGATCACAGAATGGTGAGGCGACCCTATCAAAAAATGAAGTGGCCAATGAACAGAAAAGGAGAAGTGAACAATTGACAGAAGATTTAATGGAAGAATCAATAGAAGAAACGAATAAATCAATTCTCTTATTTGACGAGTCATGTGAAAATGATTTAGTTGAATCCATCGATGAATTGAGTTTAGGAAAAGAAATATCATTACCCATTTCAAAAAAGAAAATTGATGTAAGCTTTCTTATTATAGTCGAAATTTATAATTAATTTTCAGCGTACTGATTCAATGATATTAATAGGTTTCAAAGCAAGATAATTTTTGGCAAGGCATCTCCGAGAAGTTTGTGAGATATCAAAATAAGATCCCCCAAACACGCAAAATTATAACGTAAGCTTTGATATTATGATTTTAGTTTTATTACGCTCTAAATATTTACTAAACTTCAACTTGTTTTTAAATTTTGCTTGTTATATAATAGATTGGGTTATTGGGGCATTTTCGATTTGACACAAGAGAGTTTCCATGGTTGCACAGAATTCTCCCAGAGCGAAATCGACAAAATATCACAAGATTTTTCCGATCACGTCCACTGGTCTCCGGAACCAGCTCCTGAATATCTCCAAAAATATTTTGAATCTAATTGTGATCCTTCTAAGATTGGAAATATTGAGGATTATGCAACGTTTGAAAACCTCCACATGAATATTAAATTTGCGTAAGAATTGGCTTATCAGTTATTTGAGCGAAGTCCTATGATACATACAGTATTATTTAATAAGGATTTTTTTTCTTTTACCAGAATATGTCATATGTCTTCCGTAAAGGGAGCTAAGACAGAAGAATCACTCAAATTTACAACGATGTACCCTTTGTTTAATGCGTCGTGGATCCATCATTGGTTAATGATATATGGTGGGTCACTGTTCGTTTGATTATACAGCAGAATATATAAATAATATTAACTTTCTGCATATAGGGGAGAGGTTCAAGCGATTGGTTCTAAAGAAGCAAGAAACGAAGATGCAAATCCTTTTGTTAAGGCTCGCATTGGAAGAAAGGTCGACATGAAAGGAGTCTTGACTAGGACTTCAAACAAATTTGAAGCATTATACGGGGAGGTTGCAGGTGGACTTTCCTCGATTGGCATCTCGCTTGCTTCACGGAAAAAAAAGTATTTTGATAAGATCAAACTCGCCGTGTTGATGCGAGATTCACTCAATCATGTTCTTAAAGAATGGAGATATTTATGTGACGATCAGAGAAAGGAAATAATTGTATTCGGTTGGACACTTGCGGGTAACAGTCTAACAGATATTCTAACAAATAAATTATTTACTATATAACTAATGTGATTTCGCCAATATAGGTTTGGATTTATCATTATACGCTTTGGACTGGGCCGGGGATGGCATATACCGTTTCGGGAGAATCGATCATTGTTCATTCCCACTCAATAAGGAAAGCTCTATTTTATTTGAAGATGTCTTTTGTCTTCTAAAAGAGTTAGAGGTATGCAATTTGAAATTTATCCTATTGTTATGAACAATTCACGAATTCTTATTATCCTGTTTTATGTAGAGGAAATTGTCTGAAACAGAAACTCTCATCCAAAAATTACATTCCGAAAACATTCGTGGAAAACGTAGGAAGACGAATACCGAAAATAGCCCAGTTCTCAACCTTAAAAGAACTCCTAAGTGATTTTCAAATTGAATACCATCTATCTATTACGTGTTAACAACTGACTTGTATAACAATGCATTTCTTTCAGTGCTATAAAAAAATATTAAAATTATACTTTGTAACCCAGTTGTATTATTTTTTCTGAATCTAAACATTATGAAAAAAACCGACGTCTCGCAGTTTGAAAGGTTGACGAAGAAATTATTTAAGTCCGGACGAGACATTACGCAATTAAGATATTTTCTGTTGTGGTCGTGCATTTACATGAAGTGGATCTATGAGGTAAAATTCATTTTTTCGTTCAGGATTTCGAAGACCCTACCAAATTTCGGCGGGGCTTTACTAAGGTTAATGTTATATTGTAAATAAGAAAGTGAGACCTAAAGTCCCACTTGAGAAAAGTTAAGGGTCTGTAGACCCTAAATATCAGGAATAGTAGGATGCTTTCTTCCTCTGATCTCCCCAACCTTCGAAACCCTGCTTACAGCATTCTTAAAAATCTTGGGACGAAATTGCACGAGCCGGCTCAGTCTCATTTTCAGTTATTTTAATTTTGGGAAAGCTGTATATAAACGATACAAGGAATTAAAACCCGAGTATGGTAAGGATAGATCTGAAGCGATAGTTAAAAAAGAGGTTAGAGAAGCGATTCCTGAGGCAAAATGTTCTGACAAAGCTTTGCGAAAAAAGATGGAGAGATCCGAAAAGGTTTATAAGCTTTTTAATAGTATAGGCAAAGAAAAAATAGCACAGATAAAATCCACCCCTCCAGGTTTCATCTTAAATCTAACTAAGGATGAAAAGGATTATGTAATGGCCGAAATCTTAAAATGAAAGGTTTGTTAATATACTGCGTCATTTCTTCTGCGCAATTAAGTCGAGCCCGGACACCGTGTCCAGACTCTACCACCAGAAAAAACAGAATTTCATTCACGTGTATTCTCAAACATATAATAAAGCATTTGCATATCCCGCTCATATTAGGGGTTTATTTTTTAAATGTGTATAACTGATTGCCAAACTTCATGGAAAATAATTTGCCGAGCTCAGACACCGTGTCCAGACTCTACCATCAGATAGTTATGTACAATGACTTACGAAGTGCCTTAACGATCGGCTATTTTGGGAGATAAATTTTACCAGATGCTGATCCAGCTTCTGCTCAATTTTGACGAGCTCGGACAAGCACGTGCATTTTATTCATAATCATTTTCCCGAATTCTCATTATGCTTATCCGGCTAAAGAAAAAATCCGAAACCTGATTAGCCGATCATCTTGTGATTTCGGTAACTAGCTAGCGTCGAATAAGTGTCTGAGAACTGTCGTGGAACTGACAGGGAGCTAGGATGATTCCTGTGATACGATATACATCATACTCCTCTGATTAATGAATCTGAGAATAATTTAGCCATTATATTATCTCAGAACTAATTTAACCGAATTATGCCATTGGAAAATCCCTTATATGCGGCACATAGCCAGATGTGGACCTTATATAAACCTCAGATAATATGCTTGTAATCGAATAAAAATGAATCCGATAATATACTTGCTACAAACTGCTATAAATCACTATAAATCGTAAAAAACAGTGAAATTGCTAAAATTGATAAAATACTTTAAAATCGTTATAATCTGTTATAATCTACTAAAATAGTATTATGGATTTAGATAGTAAAACATATTTTAAGTTAATTAATGCGCACAATTCTTATGGAAGCTCTGAAGAATATATAAGAATATTGGATGCAATATCACCTTTAACAAAAAGACATGCTCACGAAATACCAGAAATGTGGTGCTCTCGTATCCGTGGTCCATTTAGGAAAATACTAGAAGAGAATTATTCCAGGAGAATTCTTTCTAAGAATGGATATATTACAATGTATAGAACATTATATGAAAGTGATAGGTATCATGGTCTTCCAACAAATTATATATATTATAGTATATGCGACTCCTTAGTTTTTATATCTGAAAATGGTCATATGGATGATTCCTATTGAGATAAGCACTTAAAGAGTTGTATTAATAGAGATACTATTTCAAAGGAACATGTAAGAAAAAAAGATATTCTCCAATCTATTGATAAAAGAGAATTTAAGATCTAGCAATACAAACAAACTATATTAAAAGAAGAGACGAAAATGAAGCGTCTCCAACTAGAGCTTTTCTCTCAATTTACCTCACACTCAGAAAAGGATAAATTAGCATCGGTATCATATGATTATGATACTCGTTCAATCAGCTATGAAGCTTATCTTTTGGTTAAGGCAATTATGACAAAAAATACGACACCAAGCATCCTGAAGCCAGCTTATATTTCACCAACTACTTATCAATCATCAAATTGCAAAAGCGATACGAGCAAAATATTTATTTCGTCATTATATGCAAAACAAAATAACTTACTAGGTCCCTTGTCCTAAGCGCCTTTGGCTGGAACCTTACCATCTATAAACCATCTTAATCAGCCTACATTAAGATTGAAAAATGGGATAAAAATCACGTTCATTTAACATTCTTTATTTTTTGCGTTATATAATCTGTATGATCGTCTGGTAAAATTGTGAAATGTATCACCTACTGCAGGGTTAGATTCTCAGCAATATACTATATAACAATTTTAATAAAGTATTTTTCGAGGAAGATCCCAAATATTATCTTAATAAAATATTGTCCTGCATATATGATGTAATAGTGATACATTGCCAATCATTTGTGCAAGTGCAACCATCTGCTTGTGGACAAAATAATTTCACACATAAATCGATCCCTCCTTCAGTTATAGACCTGCAGGAGATAATCTTTTCTAATAATAGTATATCCAGACAGATGAAAAAAAATCTATATATGCATTGCCTCAATATCTTTCTAAATGTCAAGATCTTCAATACATATTTTCACATATTCTTATTCTTTAATGCAAAATTTTAGCGTAAGAGTCTGTTGCATATTCTCCTGTCTCTTCCTCCCTAATATGAATACAAGCCCAGAGAGAACGTAAATAGAGTTATTTAAAAGGATAGTATACTGGAGTGATGACTATTATAACTTTTTTTTTTATTTTTACTATGCCTGCTGATTTATATACTAAAATTTACAATTTCTTGTTAAATGCTGAGGAAAAGGACATTACCGCTAGGTCTGTTATCTATCAGGAATCGAAAACAATCCCTGGATATCTCAAAACGAGTTGAAAAGTATTATCGAACGGGCTGTTGCATTTGTAAAGAATCAATATGATCGAGGTTCCTCACGCTATACTACTCTTCTCGAAATTTTACCAGAGATAAGATATTTCTAAAGAAAGTAAAAAGAGAATTTATTTGAGTGATGAATAATGCAGTTCTAAGGAAGAGAGTATAATAGACTAAATATCCTATTAGCCTACTCATAGGATTTTTTCCTCGGCAATGTGGAAGGTAGTTAGGCTATAGTATATGCTTAATTCAATGTGGTTATTTTAGTATCGCATAAAGTTTTTATTTAAGTATTGGAGTAGCTAACCATACGAGAATAGGGCTTTATTTTAATCTGACAGCACATGTGATTTTGATAATTTTATATATATATATTCAGAACTAATTAATTGTATGTCTGCGTTAGTTTGAAATTGGTTTTAAAACAATTTGTAGTTTACATAACATCAGTGCGGTGAAAACGAATGGAGAAAGGCCTCTTAGTTCAAATAAAATTAGAAAAATATCAAAGCGCTAAAGGGCAAACTTAGAAAAAATATATCATAGTTTTACCACCATTTGTTTTCGGGTGTAAATGAGGTGTCTGTTTCTGAGTTAACCTGGAAGGATCCTCTAGCCAACCAAGTAATTAGCAATGATTCAGATCTGGTGGAAAAATTACCAGAACGGTTGAAAGAGTCTTTTATGGTAAATTCTTCTTTTTTTATTATACAGTCATATACGAAATGCCTGTTTTGAAGAACCCCTCTGGCTAACGGCTGATATTTTTTGATCTCGACTTCATTTAATTTATGCTATCATTAGAAACCAGTAGAAGATATGGTTCCTTTATCACTTTCACAAAATATATGAAAAAATGCGAAGAATTCGTAGCTAGCTTTATTGAGAGTGATATGAACATTTTACCACAAAAACTTTCGCATAATGGGGAGTGAAAAGAATCAAATGGAGAGCTTGCAGAGATCACATCAAGAATTTTGAGTTCTCTAAATGATTCATGAAATAATCCTGCATTTAGTTCTGAGTTCGCGAAATTACAAAATGAAGGTACTTATGTGACAAACGTAATTGTACCTGCTATTTGGGTCATATTAAAAGGTCTTCCTTTAGGGAAGTCGTCTTATATCAATACGTGAGTTATAATATAATTAGAAAAAGTAATATTTCGAAAACTTAGACCGTTACTAATGTTCTTCTTCTATTAGTGCTGAATGCCAAAGTTCAGCTAGTGCAGATAGGAAAGGCAAAGGACGAACAGGAAGACGGCCAGATATTATGTTTGTGATGAAGCATGATGAAAAAAATACGAGCTTATATATATTGAAAGTTCATGCTTGTTTTGCACATTACAGAAGGAAATTGATGATGAAATAAAATTATAGCGTGAAACTAATGATGGAATATACTGGGTTCATAAATTATCTGGGCCAGATAAAAGTGAATTCAAAATTATTGGAATGCAAGTTGCTAGACGAATAATGCGCTTAAATGTTCTCATTAGAGATATAGAAAATATTCATCGTTATTATCATCTTTACGAAGCAAAAATTCCTGTACAACTATCTGATCCATCCCTCGTAACAAATTTTGTAAAGACTTTACTGATTTTACAAAATATTTTAATAGTTAATATGTCTTTACTACTTAACGCACCCTCAGTTAAATCCAAAAGAAATAAAGGTAGTTCAAATGTAGATTCTGAATAGATAAGATTATATATATAGTAAATTTATTATTATTTTTTCTGTATCAATAAAGTGACCCTGGTGGTTAATTATTATTATTTTACATATTCATTCATATTTTTTCATGTG